TGCTGTTTTGGTAGCGGCTGTAATGTTCCTGGGGATCTGCTTTTCCTTCATAAGGCCGGATGGGCTGTCCCTGGTACTTATACGGGATCCGGGCCACCAATACCCTTGGGGTAAATGGCGTCCTGGTCCGGAGTTGGATGATGGGTCCCCCGGAGCCCTCGACCATCTTTTTCTGCATCTCCTCCATTTTGGCCAGCATGGCCTCATATTTGAGATCTGCATGAGGGGCACAAACGGTGGCGTGTGCTCCGGTGGCCTCCATCTCATCAAGCCAGCGCTGGAGGGCCGCAATGATCTCGTCCCTGGGGTCCTTCGGGAGGGCCGAACGGACACGGGCCGAGTGGGCCTGGTTGATTTTATGTCGGCCATCGTCGGCATGGAGGGGTGCTTTGCCTTTGTCCCAAGGGGGGCGCTTCTCATCTGCTCTCGAGACGGATCCCCCGCTTTCCTAGGGCTTGTGGAACACCTTTCCCCCGAGGCAGTCTTGGACCCCTCGGCGGTCTTGCGCCCTTCCGAGCCTCTCGAGGGCGGAGGTCCGGGGTCTCTCTTCGTTTGCGTCGTGGCAGTCTCGGGACTGGACCTCTTGGGAGGCGGTGTCTTGGGCCATGACCCCTTCGTCGTTCCCAATCCGAAGGATAGGTTTTACGGAGGGTAGTGGTGGTGGTATGGCGTTCTCCCCGACCTGTGGTTGAAGGGGCACCAGAGTGCCGATGGCACCCGGGTTCTGGGTGAGCGTTTGGATGAAGGCGGTGAACGCCGATTGCACATCAATAGTGAGGACCGGAGGGCTCACTTGGTTTTCGCTTCGGTCCTTCTTCCGGGCCTCGATGCTGAGGCGGGCATCGGGGGCATTTTGTTGGAGCTGAAGGCCTAGGTCGACAGCCGCCTGTTCTAGCTCAGCGACGACACCGCCCTCGGGAGCCCTGTTAGGGGCTTCGGGGGCGTTGACTTCGCTGAGGGCCAGGTTCTTGTCCTCAACGTTCTTGGAGTTGGCACGGGTTGTTCTCACCATTCTGGTAGGTGTTTTGTGTTTGGCGAAGGGGAGGGTTTCTTACTTGATTGTTCGAGCTCTCAACGAGAGCACCAAATGATGGATGGTGTACCCGGGGGGTATCTATCCGAGGGGTTACTGCGGTGAATAACTTAGAGAGAAGTCAGAGCAATAGTAAGAGAGATAAAGTGTATGTTCGATATGAATTTAGCGTGGTTTACAAAGGGTAAATGAGGTGCTACTTATAGCAGCAATAAATGCGAGACGAGGACACGTGTCAAGCATCCGACGGCCGAGGGTCACGTCAATCGGGGTGGCACTGGCAATCCCATATGGCCGCATTAAATGCGACGGTTGGATGTGACATTTGTACTTGGTACGGCGATCCAGGCGCATGTGGAGAGGAGATTCTGTCGAGAAAGGTGCCTTCGGCTGTAGATGATTAGCCGAAGGCTCTTCGTACCGGGGGCCTCTAGGTGCCGAGGGCTCTAAGTGCCAAGGGCTGCTGTTTTCGCCATTTTCTCCCAGTAGTCCCGCATGTGTAAATCGTCTGCTCTGTGAGAATCTGGAGCCTTCGGCCTGGGGGCCGAAGGCATGCCTATATGCACCGTCGGCTTCCTGTTACTCAGGATGCTGTAATTTGGGCCTGTTGTGCTTCCTGTACTTGTTGGGCCTTTGTTATAGTAGTAGGAGTCAATGGGCCGGGGGTCCCTGGGCCACATACTCCATCAACGAGTATCGTCTCCACAAGGACGGTAAAAGGGAATTAAGAATTAAATAAATTCAGCGATTAAAAAGATATAAAATAAAAAGCAATTGTGCGAGATTGGTTGATTTGGAAAATTAAAATGCACGCGAATGAATAAAAATAAATTGGTTCTTTTCTAATTAATGACGAAGGGACATGAATTGATTCCGGGGTAATCAGGTTTCTGGCTGATCAAGCTTAATCACATGAAACTAATTTAATTGAGCCTAGCTAATCATTACTAAGTTCTTACCGCTCTCGCGGTGTAGAGTACAATAATTTAGGGGACCAGACTGATCTCTCATGCGTCAGGATCCTAAAATTATTGCCAAAACGAGCGAGTGTACGGCCCCTTAATCGTTACTAATCTCTTGGCGAACGATTAAGTGTGTGTGAAGGTGTCCTAGAATAAATTAGATCTCTCTTAATTTATTCTACAAGCAATTATAATCCTAGTGGTCATTCTAGGTTACAAGAGATATCAATTCAATCATTCAAACACAAATTAAATAACATTCATTCAATTAAACCATCAAGAATTTAGCCATACATCATGATTCACCCCTTCATCAATCCCAAATTCCTAATTAAAACTACTCACAATTCATAATTGAAAAAATGGAGATATCTTGTTTGTTTGCCTTTATGTTCATTATTTAAAATTCATGGGAAATAATCCCAATTTATTTGAGAATTTCACAAAGGCAATGAGTCAAGAATTTGAAATGACGGATATGAGCTTAATGTCTTATTATTTGGGCATTGAGGTGAAACAAAGTGAAAATAGAATTTTCATCGGTCAAGAAGGGTATGCAAAGAAAATCCTTGAAAAGTTTAAAATAGATGATTGTAATCCAATCAATACATCGGTGGATTGTGGGGTTAAATAATCCAAGTTTGGTGATGAGGAAAAGGTGGAACCCATTATGTTCAAGACCTTGGTTGGGAGCTTACGATACTTGACTTGTACAAGGCCCGACATTTTGTACGGAGTTGGTCTCATTAGCCGATACATGGAAGATCCAAGAACCTCTCATTGGAAGCCCGCCAAGAGAATTCTTCGTTGCATCAAAGGTACTCTTAACTTTGGCATGTTTTACAATTCTTGCAATGATTCCAAGCTTGTTGGGTATAGTGATAGTGATTGGGCCGGAGATGTTGATGATCGTAAGAGTATACCGGATTTGTTTTTCTTATGGGTAATACGACTTTTACTTGGAGTTCAAAGAAGCAACCGATTGTGACTCTCTCTACATGGGAAGCCGAATATGTTGCCGCCAGCTCATGTGTTTGTCATGCTATATGGCTTCAAAGTTTATTCAAAGAAATAGGCATGCAACAAAAGGAAGCTACGGAGATATATGTGGATAATAAATAGGCGATAACATTGGGAAAGAATATGGTGTTCTATGATCGAAGCAAACACATTGATACGCGTTATCACTACATCCAGGAGTGCATTGAAAGAAAAGAAGTTGAAGTAAGGTACGTAAGGTCTCATGATCAAATCGCTGATATTTTTACGAAGCCGCTCAAGCATGAAGATTTCCGAAGATTGAGGACAATGCCTGGAGTTACCAAAACAAGTTTAAGGGGGGTGTTGAAAATTAAACTTGTTTTAATACTTTGGACCTAACTAAAATGTATTTAAATTATTGTTGGAAAGGCCCAAGTAGTAGAAAAGTGTAGAAGGAATAAATTCTAGAGCTTTTATAGAAGATGTGGTCTCTAGAATTTTCCTATCATTAATGGTGTAGAATTATGTAGAATGTCTTAATTGTAGAAGACTCTAGATACCTTTGTACTAGTATAAATAGAAGTCTTCTACCCCGCTTTGTATCAAGCAAATCAAGCCATAGAGTTATTCTAATAAAAAGAGTTCTTTCCTTTTGTTCACATATATCTTTCATATTATTTCTAATTTAGTCTCCCAATATCTCAAACCTTCCTTCACTTGTCTCCAACACCTCTTACTGTTGTGGGTAATGGTCATTATTTCTCTGATTAAGAGATTGTTCAGTTTGCACTTTTTGTAGATTGTGATTCTATATCTTTTGAGGATGATTATACAAAAAGTCATTGGCTTGAGACAATGGATAGGAAATATGTGTCATTCACAAAAGTTATACTTGGGAGTTGACGAAAAGTTTTTGATTTTTAGTTTTTGGTTTAAAAAAAATTAAAATGAATGTTGTCAAGTGACATTTTCTGCTAAAATTAAGTAAAGTTAAAAACCGAAAGCAAGTGGAGGGGTACTTTTAAACTCCTTTTCACTTTTTCGATTACACAAAAAGCACTCTTAAATATGATTGTGATATTTTGAAGAAATTCAATGTGAAGGATTCCACTCCAATCTTGACTCCCGTAGCTGAAAAAATGAAATTGTCCAGACTTTAATTGGAAGTTTCAGGTATTTGGTTGCCACAACACCAAATATTTCCTTTGGAGCTCCCGTAGGAAGGATTGCTTGGCAGCCTGGCACGTTTATGGAGAGACCAAAGGTATCACATTGGCTTGCAGCAAACTGAATTCTGAGGTATCTTAAAAGGTACCAGTCATGATGGAATTTTTATACTCCACGAATAAAATTATGGAACTAGTTGGTTACATAGAAAGCGACCAGGCCGGAGATGTCGAGACCGGAAAGGGAACATCAGGATATGCTTTTTATCTCGCCTCATATATATATATATTTTTTCTTGGTCTCCTAAAAAGCAGCAGGTGGTAGCACTTTCAACACAAGAAGGATGCTCCTATAGTCCTATGACTGTTTTTTGTGAAAAAGATCCTATTTTTCATGGTCTCGTAGCAAGCATATTGATATCAAGTATCACAAAATAACAGAGTTCATTGCACAAGTGCAAATCAGCATTGAGTATTGTTCTAGTGATTGTTATGGTATTTTTACCAAGCTATTGAAGAATGGATCGTTTTTTAAACTCAAGAGGGAGATTGGGGTGATCAGCTTTTCTGACTCGATTTAAGGGAGGTGTTATAATATTAAACCAAGTCAAATATCTTTAGCAGAAGAAAAGGAATGATTGTTATCTAAACGTGCAGTACAGCAGTCAGTAGTGATACATAATATGAGGCTGAAAATAAAGAAGTTAACTTGATTTGGGATTTGTTGTTAGTTCTTGTATTATAAATATTGAAATGCTTTAGCTTTGCAAGTTCTGTCATTCCTTTTTTGTCCTTTCTCCCCAACAATTCAAATTTAGATAAGAATCATATTATAAATATATATCTACATTTTATTATCTCTACTAAAGTTAGCCCGAACGGGTCCCACATATAAGAAATGTAATAGAAACGCATGGGAAGCTAAACAAATGAAATATTACCTCGATTCTTTAAAGAGTCAGGTTTGTAAGACTAACAAACAATATTACAAACATGACTATTTTAGGGACAGAGGGTGTTTATCAAAAGACCATTATAGGATTGTTGGCCGCCACATGAGGAAAAAATGATTGAATAGAACGTATTTTATACACACAACTTTCAATCCCCTAGGGACCAACTACACCTAGATCAAAGGAGTTGCCAATCGTCTTGTTTACTATTCTCTGACTCATCAGCAGCAATTGCATCAAATGCGTCTAATCCCTCTGCCTCTGTGTTTTGATATTCAACTAAGTTCGATGAATGCCGGGTCTTGGCTATTGTAAACAGTGGGGCACCGTTTGATTTCTCTGCTAGCTCAGATGACCGTGAACAGAAATCATCAAAATCGCCTAAAAGAATTGAAAAAAGAAAACGAAACTTCATCAATGAAGTGTTAAGGGACATTTATTTGTAGACTTCCTTAGGGCTTGAACTATACTAGTACTACTACTACTGCGTATTTACAAGGTTAACTACTACTACTGCGTATTTACAAGGTTAAAGCAATGGAAACAAAGAGGTTTACTTTTGTCTTTGCAGAAGAACCCAATGGCCAATGATGGGTCAATAGAATCAAGAGGTAAATGACGTACAACACTGCAATCAGACACAAGAAGATGTTAGTCACACATACAAAAAAAAGAACAAATAAATGAAGGGCTTACTTGCAATGGTAAGAAGAAGTATCAGCGTTCATAGTATCTGTCTTAATATCAACAACCTGCCAATAAATTCATTTGAGAGAGCCGAACACTGGAAGTAAAGTTAGCTAACTACTGGAAGTAAAACGAAGTATATGACAGGAAAGCTATAGTTAAATGTCGTTAGTCCATAAATATGATGAGCATTGTTGGGACGTGACAGATTCGTCCGCATCACAAAATCAAATTATCTTGATTAGAATTGCTTGATTGTATTTATTATGAATAATGCCCCTTATATGATGATATGAGATAAATATCTATGATATCAAAACCAACTGATTAAGCTATGTAATAAAAAGATTGAATCTGACCAATCAGCTATTCAAAATGGATAAACTCAGATGCCCTGCAGTAATATTTCCATGTGTGGCTCTCTTAACAAAGAGAGAATAGAACTATTCAAAATGGATTAAGTTATATATGGACAAAACTAGATTGAGGTTACAGATTTAACGTTTGTGCTAACATTAGATACTTAGGAACACTATTTATCACTTTATTGACCAAACTCTAGACAAATTTGCTGCAAGAGTACTAATGACAAGTTTTCAAAAAGAAAATAAAATGTTCAATGATCTTGCTTAATTCAAATTATAATATATGGAAGCTGAACTTCAATAACACCCATAGACTAACACCGGTAACAATTGTCATCCATGCCAAACACACACACACCATAATGAGCTAAATCTACGCTGATATAAGGTTCATATTATGATGACTTAATACAAAGGACCTGCACTCTAACAATCCTTTCTCCTCAACAACACACTTTGTCTCGTCTTTAATAATACATAAATAATTGCACCACATGATCCATAACTATATGGGCCATTGCAAAATGAGATAAGTGGAAAGAAATAATAACCTGCTGGGCTTCATGTGGATCGAGATAAAATGCTTTATCATCCTGAACACCAATAATGTAAGTCGATGCTCCAGGTCTACCACCCAGGATTCCTAGGCTTTGAGGGAAACTGAATATAGCCCCTAATAAAGGAATATACCTAAGAAAAGTAATGAATAAATTCATAATTAAGAATAAAAGCAAATGGTCTAAAACAGGATAAGAGCACATATATAACTTAAATACACCATCTATAGGGTACTACATTTTCTCTTGTCGTTTTACATACAGAAGCATATTGTTTATGTATAGAAGCAAACTCTCTACCTTGAAATGATGAGATTAAGTTTATTTTTATTTTTGACGCATAGATGCATTTGTGCTTAAGGGGAGCCTTGGTGCACTAGTTGGGGTGTTATTGTGTGACCGAAAGGTCACATGTTCAGGTCTTGGGAGTGGCTTCTTGTCAAAATGACAAGAGAAGGTTTGCCCCTATTGATCCTTGTGGTGGGACACTTCCCCGGACCCTTGCCTTGTGGCAAGGTCAATGTGCACCGGGCTGCCTTTATATAGATGCCTTCATGCCAAATTCACTAGAACTAAGCCCATAAATTAAATTCTCATTCCCATCTTAGAAAAATGAATTCAATCAGCACCAACAGTAAATATGTTACTAAGAATCAGTTTTCCTTTTCCTTTTCAATTATATGTAGTCCTGTGCTCATACATCAGAACAATTAAAGTCTGAATGCCTGCCCCCAAGTATACAAAAGGGCATTTGAATAGCTCTCACTATCAGGAGCAGTTTAAAAAGGATTTCCTAATGCATTGCCACCTCTCTGGCTCTCCCCACTTGTGTCACAATATTTCAAGCTAAGAGTCTAAGACAGTATTCTATCATTCTATGTATGGCCAAAAAAATGATGTGCATGAGTACATCCACTAAGGCATCCCTACATTAAAATCAACGCTAAAGAATCAACATTAAGTCCATACCTTGGGTTAACCTTGTCCAGTCCTAAAACCAAAGGGACCAACAAAAGGATAGGTGCCCAATCACAATCGCCTTTTGAAAATTCATAGCAGTGTTTTAAAATATCATCAGTACAAAGCATAGGTGCTCCACCCCTTTCTCCATCTTCATCCCCAGAAACAACAAATATTGTCATCCTTGAATGCAAGTCAGCATTTCCTATGTTGTCTATCTTACAACGTGCCATAATTTCCCATGTCCGGCACATTGCATATGGGCCAACCCATGAACCAGGAGAAAGACCATAAGCCTTTCCAGCTTCAAGAAGGTTGTGAATTGAGTAAGCTGAGTCCTCAGAATCACCAAAAAGGCATAATATCTCAGCATATTTTTGCTCAAATGGCTGCAGAATAAAAAATCTTATTAGTTTCTCGAGATAATGACTGCCATTAAACAATAATCCAAGAAAGTGCATCTTGGAGATTCAAAAAAGTACAATATTTTTAATATAATGATCCCTAACACCCACCCTACCAACATTTTTCTCCATTTAGCAGGCTCAAATGGAAGACCTTACATAAGAAGACTTAAACTAGTTCCTCAATTCAATGACAAGCACCATAATATAACCAAAAACAACATCTTGTATATTACCTTGTCCAAGGACTTCCTCCATGACCTCCCTAATTGATGAAAAAGCAATGCCTGCATCCACAAAAAATCACCACAACCATATATTAATGATAAAAGAAACATGTTTACACTTAATACATAGAAAACTCGAGGAAGGTAGGAGCAAGTGCATGGTGTACCAATGCACACAACCTGAGCAACAAGCATCTGACTGCTTCTTATCATGCAGCCCCAACCTGAATCACTAGTATACTTGGACTCTCCAATGGGAGCAAATCCTGATCATTCAAAGTGACAGAGATAAAACCCTCATTAGTTCTATTACAAAACAAATGCTGATCTCTTCTGAACTAGATAAGAATAAAAAAAATCACCTTTACGATACGTGATAAAGATTCTAGACGAGAAATCTTCTACAAAAGAAGCATATCCCTCGCTCTGGGTCGGATCAATTGACAGATCACTATTCTCAGCTACTCTATAGCAACTTCCCAGAAGCCAAATATCACCCTTGGACCCGGATGGAATCCCAGTTTTGTTGAAGCCCAAATATCTCCTCATTGAGCTACCGCTGACTGCTCTCCTCAAACTTGCTGTCCAGCCATTAGCATAAATATCATTCTTCAAGCTCCAATTTCCCTTCCACGGACACCCTTTTGAGTGCTCGCCTGAAAGAGTGCCGAAGATAGAGAAAGCAGGTGCCCAGAAGCCTGTTGCAGAAGCACAAGATGGTTTATGCTCTTTTGGTTCTGCCGAAGAAGACGAAACAGAATCCGAACCCGGACCTTGACCCAATATCCTAGTAGGCGATTCGGAATTGGAGAAACTTATGATGGTGTTGCTTCTCAATAGATCCTTTTCCGGCATCAGAAAAGGTCACCGTGATCAAGGGCACATCTTGAACCCCAGGCCCATATTAATTCTTCTGGTTTTCTATTTTTCGTACGGTAATAATTCAATAAGGTATTAGGAACCGATTGTATTATGGTTTTTGTTGTAAATTCCTGAGAAAGACAAGTGTGAATAAGCTTACTCGTCTAATTCATATCATTGTAATCATAGTTAGACATGTGGGTAGATCTAATACTGTCAGCAAATTGTGTAGAATCATTCCTAGATGATTCATCCTTAAGCTTGGCTAGTATAAATAGAGTTAGTTCAATTCTTTGTAAAATTATTCAGAAAATATTTTGAGATTAAGAAAAAGATATTCAGATCTTTTATTAATATATCTATCTCTTAAGTTTAGTCTTCATCTTCTTCATTTTATAACACGTGTCACTCAGATTACAATGATCTCCTGCAGATATGGATCACTCAAATGATAAAGAGCTATGTCTGATAGACAGCACCACAACGCACACCATTTTGAGAAATAAAATATATTTTTCTCAAATAACTTTAGTTGAAGCTAAAGTCAATACAATATCAGGTGTTGTGAAGCTCATTGAAGGCTCTCGGAAAGCATATGTGATGCTCCCTAACGGGACAAAAATTATTATAAATGACGCTTTATACTCCAGCAAATCGCGGAGAAATTTATTGAGCTTTAAAGATATGCGTCAAAATGGTTATCACATAGAAACCACGAATGAAAATCAAAAGGAATATCTTTGTCTTACGACAACTAAATCTGGCACTAAATATATTTGTGAAAAAATGTCAGCATATTCCTCAGGACTATATTTCACATATATTAGTCCATTCGAAATAAATTTGGTTTCTAACACAAAGTTAGATAATCAGAAAACATTCATGTTGTGGCATGACCGTTTAGGTCATCCAGGCCACGTAATGATGCATAAAATCATTAAGACTTCACTTGGACATCCATTAAAGAATATTAGGGTTCCATTGTCAAGTGATTTTCCTTGTAAGGCCTCTTCTCTTGGCAAAATGATCATCAGGCCTTCTATGAACAAAATTGCAACTGAATCACCTGCATTTTTAGAAAGGATTCAAGGAGATATTTGTGGGCCGATTGCCCCACCATGTGGACCATTTCGATATTTTATGGTGTTGATTGATGCTTCAACACGTTGGTCACATGTCAGTCTTTTATCGACTAGAAATTTAGCATTTGCTAAACTCCTTGCTCAAATTATAAGATTAAGAGCTCATTTTCCGGATCATTCTATAAAAAGAATCCGACTTGATAATGCATGAGAATTTACATCCCAATCATTTAACGACTATTGGGATTGATGGGCCTTTTCAAAACCTTCAAGAAATCATAATCTCCTTGGGTAAAGATTACGACATATAATGTCTGTTTTATCAATATCATTTCCAATATCTATCATTTTAGAAGCACCGTTTTAGGAATGATCAGAACTGAATAGTGCATTTGTTGTTATTGTTTTTCTTATTAAAATAATATGATGACTAAAAGAAAAAGAAAGAAGCAATGAATTAAACTAACTAGAAGTCTAGAACACTTGGGAAATCGGGATATCGTAATAACATGCAGATGGTGACTCATATCTAGAAATATAAACTAATAAAGTTATGCAATAAATGCTAGTTGATCTTTTGAGAATCACGGGTCTTTTAATCTGATAAACATGCAGAGTTATTTTGTATGTTTCTATAACAACAATACCATTTTCATTAAGAATATTAAAGATAATGCTCACAGCTCATAGTTTTAGACTTTTAATCACAAATTTAAATGTTTCTGTCCCTGAATAGTTCTGCTGCAAATTTAATATTACAAATTTGTTTGTTTTTAAAGAGAAGTTTTTAATGAATAAACAAACACATAAGATTTTATGATTGTAATATTTAAATACTACTTTTAGTATTTCAGGATTACACTTAAACCCATCACTAACATATATAAATAAGAGTGATTACATAGGCATTAAATTTGGTATTCTTGTAATAACTACTAAATAATTCTTATAAATTATTGGCACTTATATTCATCAAAATTAATTTCATAATTCATGTAGTATCATGGCAAATATAAGCAAAAAAGAATTTGACGTTCTTGATCTGTCTGGTCAAAAATACCTGGAATGGAAAGTTGATGCTTTAACACATTTGAAGGCCAATGGTCTCGGAGACACTATTGAGGCTATTAATCAATCATCTTCCCAGGATAAAGCGAAAGCTATAATTTTTCTCCGTCACCATCTCCATGAAAGTCTCAAATCTGAATATCTTTTGGTTGATGACCCAAAAGAATTATGGGACAATTTATAGGAGAGATATGGCCACCAACAAAAGGTACTTTTGCCAAAAGCTCAGTATGACTGGATCAATTTAAGATTCCAGGATTTTAAATCAATCAGTGACTATAATTCTGTCATGTTCCAAATAATATCTAAACTAAAGTTATGCGGACAAAAAGTCACTGATGCTGATATGTTGGAGAAAACCTTTGCTACAATGCATATTTCTAATATGTTGCTACAACAGCAATATAGAGAAAAGGGATTTAAAAAATACTCCGACTTAATATCAGTATTATTGGTAGCTGAGCAAAATAATGACCTTTTGATGAAAACTCATAATCTGAGACCCACTGATTCTAGTCCTTCGGTTTATGGTCCATCTGGCCACAATTTAGCCACTGAATTAAATGCAACATACAGTGGCAGTAGAAGGCATTTTAAACGTGGGTGTTTTAATGGTCATAAAAACAAGTCACACCGAAAATACAAACAGGTCGAAAGACCAAATTACAAGGGCAAGGGCAAACAAAAGGCCCATCAAATAAATCGCCCTCCAAAGTCCTCGGGAAAGTCGACTTGTTATAAATGTGGCATGACGGGGCACTGGGCTAATAAATGTCGCACGGCTAAACATCTGGTGGAGTTATTTCAAGCTTCCATGAATCTGAACAAAGGCAAAAATATGGAAGCTAATTATGTCAATGACACAAATCCACCTCTGCCAAAATTTGACGTGTCCGACTTTTTCGCGGATGATGCCATTATGGACGACGCTTTTGCCATAAACCAAAATGTTACAAAATAAAATAGTGGACTCCTTATGTTGTATAATACTAGTTTTATGTACATTTTCTTTCTTCCCCTTTTATTTTGTTTTTAAATAAATGTGTGGACTGTTATGATCAATAATATGCATAATTTGTGATCAAGCTTATGTTTATTTATATATATATATATTGAAGATATGGATCACTCAAATGATAAAGAGCTATGTCTGATAGACAGCGCCACAACGCACACCATTTTGAGAAATAAAATATTTTTCTCAAATGACTTTAGTTGAAGCTAAAGTCAATACAATATCAGGTGTTGCGAAGCTCATTGAAGGCTCTGAGAAAGCATATGTGATGCTCCCTAACGGGACAAAAATTATTATAAATGACGCTTTATACTCCAGCAAATCGCGTAGAAATTTATTGAGCTTTAAAGATATGCGTCAAAATGGTTATCACAGAAACCATGAATGAAAATCAAAAGGAATATCTTTGTCTTACGACAACTAAATCTGGCACTAAATATATTTGTGAAAAAATGCCAGCATATTCCTCAGGACTTTATTTCACATATATTAGTCCATTCGAAATAAATTTGGTTTCTAACACAAAGTTAGATAATCAGAAAACATTCATGTTGTGGCATGACCGTTTAGGTCACCCAGGCCAGGTAATGATGCATAAAATCATTAAGACTTCACCTGGACATCCATTAAAGAATATCAGGATTCCATTGTCAAGTGATTTTCCTTGTAAGGCATGTTCTCTTGGCAAAATGATCATTAGGCCTTCTATGAACAAAATTGCAACTGAATCACCTGCATTTTTAGAAAGGATTCAAGGAGATATTTGTGGGCCGATTGCCCCACCATGTGGACCATTTCGATATTTTATGGTGTTGATTGATGCTTCAACACATTGGTCACATGTCAGTCTTTTATCGACTAGAAATTTAGCATTTGCTAAACTCCTTGCTCAAATTATAAGATTAAGAGCTCATTTTCCGGATCATTCTATAAAAAGAATCCGACTTGATAATGCAGGAGAATTTACATCCCAATCATTTAACGACTATTGTATGTCGATTGGGATTGATGTGGAGCACCCTGTTGCTCATGTCCATACACAAAATGGTCTTGCTGAATCTTTGATTAAACGATTACAATTAATCGCCAGACCATTATTAATGAAGTGTAACTTACCTTCATCAGCTTGGGGACATGCTATTTTACATGCAGCAAATTTAATTCGACTTAGACCAACTACATATCATGAATATTCCCCAATGCAATTAGTAACTGGACAAGAGCCAAACTTAGCACACATTAAGATATTTGGTTGTGATGTTTATGTTCCAATTGCTCCACCTCATCGTACAAAATTGGGTCCTCAAAGAAGGTTGGGAATTTATGTTGGATTTGAATCTCCCTCAATACTAAAATATCTCGAACCGATGACTGGTGACTTATTCACAGCACGGTTTGTAGACTGTCATTTCAACGAGACAGTGTTCCCAAGCTTAGGGGGAGAAAATAATAAATTAGACCCAAGTACGAAAAAAATTACATGGAATGCAACAGGATTATCACATCTTGATTCAAGATCAAATATATGTGAGCAAGAGGTGCAAAAGATAATTCATTTACAAAATATTGCAAATCAGTTGTCTGATGCATTCACAGATACAAAGAAAGTGACAAAGTCACATATTCCTGCCATGAATGCCCCTGCCAGAATCGAAATCCCAACACAGAATTTTGAAAAATCTCTTGCAAATGATTCTTCTATACGCAAAAGGCGTGGCAGGCCACTTGGATCAAAAGACATAAAACCCAGAAAAATTAAAAGGCAGTAATTGTTCTGTGATGCCAAAGAAGTTCATCCTTCTGAACAAGAAAATGAACAATTTGAAAATACTGGCATTGGAAATGATATTGATAAAACAGACATCTCAAATGATGATCCAACTTCCTTAAACGAGGAAGATATTCCAGATAATGA